TCGTCGCAGCAAGGCAGCCCCGTCTCCAGCCACTCCATCTGGACTCAGCCGGGAGCCGAGAGCGCCGCTTACAACGCGGGATCTTCCCACCCGCCCGTGTCACCTCGCTTCTCCTTCTCCACCAGCACCCCCATCCCGGCCACCTCGTCCCGCGAGGCCGCGGCCGCTTACAGCAGCTCCCTGAGCCTTTCTGCGAACGGGAGGGAGCAGTACGGCCGGGGCTTCGGCGCCTCCTACTCCAGCCCGTACCCGGCGTACGTGAGCCCCGAAATGGCCACCACCTGGACTTCCTCGCCCTTCGACAGCCCCATGCTGCACAACCTGCAGAGCAGAGGGACGCCCGGCGCCGCCAGGCATGCCAACATCGGTGAGTGATGGCCAACGGGTCTTGTGGAGACCCCCCTCCTTTTTTTTTTTTTGGTTAAAATTGGGTGAGGATGGGACCGTTTTTGCAAGACCCGTGCCGGGCGTCCTCACAGAACGTTTCGCACTCCCTGCATGCTCTTCTAGGCCCATGGAGCAGCGCTGGGGCTGTTTCCGTCAAAAATGCCCCAATTTCAAAAGATTCTAGCTAGAAATCTCGCGCCCAACGCCCATATAAGGCCCTGCTCCGGGTGGGAGCCAGCCGGGGAAATAGCTCCGACATTTAGGGACCGCAACGGGAATGACTGTGGTGCGTTTAAGGACGATGTTCCGTAGGTCTCCCCTTCCCAGAGTCACTCGAGGGGTAAAAAGGGCTCAGAAGGGGTCCAAGGCACAAGGGAAGTCCGTCCCGTGGACTTGTGTTTGGGTTGTTTTACGTCCTTTTCGTCCTTTTATTTTTGGAAAGATTGGTCAGGCGAGACAGGATAGGAGCACAGGAAAGCAAAGGGAAATGGGGAAGAGGCAGTAGCGAAAGCAAAAAATAATTGGATTCTTATTTATCGCAATGTCTTGCATGAGACAACTGGCCGAATTTTGACTTTTGGGGGGACTCACAAGTGTTTGAGCACGTTTGAACATGCAGGTCTTGAATTTTTGGCTCTCTTCACCCCAATTCTCAACCCTGAACACTGTGGTGCTGCTCCAGCTCTCAGAGCCGACGCACTGATTTAATCAAGCTCTTCTGGTTCTCCGCCCAGAAACTGTCCCAAAAGGGTTAAAATGTTGCTCTGTATTTTGTACAGAGGGGAAAGGAAGAAGTAGGGTGAATAGAGGTGTTGTGGGGGAGAGAAATGCGGCGATTTGCAGTTTCCCAAATCGTTTTTTTGCTCCACACGCTCTTTCTATGGATGTATTTGCGCTTGCTTCAGGGTCGGAGTTAAAAAATAAAACACACCAAAAGAAAATGACTCTGATTTATCAGCAAATGTATTTTAAGATGCCACTTTTTATCTTGCATTTTGGCATGAATTTTTTCCCTTCTTTTTTCTTTACCTTTATCATTATTTAACCAAGTTGCAGAAATGAAAGTTGGGTATTGGTGAAAGTCTGGTCCTCACCGTGCCCTTTGCTTTTCCATGGGCTTTAGAATTTCCTTAACATGGGGCAGAGACTGACGTTAAGGAATAAGCTTGGGACCACCAGGCGATGTTTTGGAGAAGCATTGCAAAGGCAGAATATGTAAGAGAAACGGTAATTATTGGATATTATCGAGAAAGAGATCGTAATTTTGAATTTAGCTAACGTATAATCTTTTCCTTGGGGAAAAATGTATATAAATATAGTCATTTTGCTAGGGTATCATATGGACCCTTAATAACAAAAATGCCTGAAAATAAAATATTGCAAATGAGGAATTTTGTCTACAGAAATACTCAGCGGCTTTTAAGGCCTAGGCTGTTTTACACAGGGATTTTGGTGTTTCAAGACCCGCGTTAAGCAGTGGTTTGTGCTGAGGTCCCTCAGTCAGATTGTGGCTTTGGTGCCAAAGATCTTTCCTCTCCTGGGTTTTTTTTTATAGCAGCAGGTAGATCAGATGCATTGAGCCAATTCAGGGGCTGTTTTTTGCTACTTGTCAGGACCTTTTCTAAAACGACATCCCGATTCCGTGGCTGAATTCAAGGTGTTGCATCCTGTCTGCTCCCAGTGCCGTGGGTTTTGTTTTGGGGGATCTGATTTCCACCCTGAACGTGGAAACAACACTTAGGTTTTAATTAAAAAGTGCTCAAAACAGGAAAAAAGAAGAAGAAGCCAGCTGAAAGTGGAACCATTTAATATTAATATTCCCATTAATGGGAATTTCTTTTTAAAGGAAGCTCAGGTATTTAGGGCCCAAACCTGCCCTGTTCTCCTTTCCCCCGCAAATTTTGTCAGTGGGATTTGGATCAAAAAAAAAGAGATATTTTTATAACTCCATTATGAGGAATCTCTGGGTAGAAAAAGCCTCTCCTGTGAAGTCCTAGGGCTTTTGCAGGGTTTTCATCTTCCTCAATTATTTTTTTCCTCCTGGACACACTCCCACCTTTCTAAAGTGCTAATTCTGGAGCATTGTTAGGACCACTGCAATATTAAAAATATTATTTTTAAATAATGAAGATCAGGTCTGGGCAGGTGTCTAGACAAAGATATGTAGTTTCAGCAGTCGTGGATAGCATTTATTTTCCACCAAAAATACCCCTCTGGGAATGAAACTGAAGCAATCTGTTTCCAGAGGTGATTAGCAAATGAGGCTAAAATATATTTTATATATTTCTTGCTTATCATGCAAATGATGGGAATTTTGGCCTGGGTAAAAATTGCCAAATTTAGCTTTGTGGTATAAAATTCTGGAGAAGATGGGTGCGTAAATAATGTAGGCCTGCTTGAAAAGCTTCTTTCCATTCAAAATGCCTCATCTGGGCTTTTTTTCAAGGTAAAAGGCTGGGGGATGATTTCGTATGGGGGCCGTGAACTTGCTGCGAGGCTCAGGCAGCCTCGTAAGGAATCCCTGGGCTAATGAGGCATGAGAGGAGCTGCTCCATAAAGGCTCCTGCCGGGAGCCCTCCCTGCCATTCCCAAAATCCGCCTCCGTCCCCAAAACCTGTGCGCGTGCGACGCGGCCGAACTTCCTTCCCAGGTGGGAGATTGCGGGAATGCAGCCGGGCTCAGGAGGGGGGATTTTGCCCCCAGCCCGAGCCTGTCGCCACTTACGACCCCCTGCAAAGGCGCCTGGATCAAAGCCCTGAGCAGACTCCGTAGGAAAATGTTTTCTCTACTGCTGTGTAGTGAGGGGAGAGAGATTTTGAACCAGATCTGAAGGTTTCCCATAGGGATGCTAAGAGATTTTCTCTGTAGCATCCCCAGGCTGCCGTTCCTGGTGATTCATCAGCATCTGTTACATCCCTTTACCCTCGGAGCAGCCCCATATCATTCCCCGCACACCTAAGGGAAAGGGATCTGCATCCTGGAGCAAACAGATGGGGAAATGTCCTAAAGGCATCTCTGGGTGGCCCGTGGCACCTCTGCTCTGGTTGCTCTCAGTGCGTTGAGGCCGAAGGATCGAGGTGTGTTTTGCACGTGCGCTTCAGGGGTGCAGGCTCCAGAAAGGAGACCCAGGACGCTCCCGTTTCCCGGGCGCACAAAGCGCCGTTAGGGCAAACACACGGTTTGCAGCCCTCTTTTCCCAAAATGAGAATCGAAGGTCGCACTACTGAGGCCTGTCCCCAGGTCTGGTGCGTCACTGCTTTCCGCGGGTCATTCCGAGAGAGTCATCAAGACCCGGTTTGGAAGCACTCGCCTTGGCCTGGGGCTTTGTTCCCTCCATGGGTTGCAAACTGCCCTTCTGTAAAGCCTAATTTAATTGTCACCGTTGGTCTCATCCTGCCCCTTCTCACCCCCTCTTGGGATGGAGAGGTCTGAGGGGCCCCATCCTGGCCCTGTGGGGCTTGGGGGCAAAACCTGTCGAACCTGGGCACAGAAATGCACGAGCTCGCTCAAACACACAACTGCTTTTTACCTAGGGAGACCCTAAAGGGTGCATTTTAAATGAGATATAAAACAACAATAATAAAAATATGATCAACGGGGCTACATCATCATCACTAATAATACCATACCTTTACTGATGACTGTGCTTCATCCCCTATTAGTCACCATAATGTGAAATATTACATAGAACAGGCATGGTCTAATATATATGGACTTTTTTTTTAAAGCTAATATTTAAAGCTATGGATAGTGGTATTCAATCTAAGGCGTTATTAAGCAAGGATAAAATATTTTTCTTCTCTGCACCTATATACATATGCATGTCTTCATTTCTATAACAATACCGTCATTTATTTTTTTTTTTTAATTTGAGAGGACAGCATAGATTTTGTTTTCTCTGTATTTACTTCCATTGGTTTTGGGGAAAGAAGCTAAACCTGTAGAAAGAGATGAGTGTTTATCTGGTGGTGTTTACCAAAGGAAATTGGACCCGATCCTGCTGCCACAGTGCTCTTCTGATGATGGAGAAATCTTGGCTCAGTTGGTTATCCTGAAGGGAGCTGGTTATTTTGAACAGGCATCTGATTCTTGAAGGCTGTAAAATTAAGGATGTTTTAAAACAGATGCTATTCAAAAAAGAAAAAAAAATATGAAATAAACCCTCAAATGGAGTGAAAAAGTAGCAGAGGTGCAGTAAGACGAGCAGATTTTGTTCCAGTCTGGTACAACGGACTTCCTTTCCTACAATCTCCTTATTAAGGATTTCTGGGGGATTGGGGATTTCTGGGGGATTTTTCTGGGATTTTCTGGGGGATTGGGGATTTCTCCCCGCTTCGAAATGGTCCCTTTGGGCACTGAGGAGAGGAAGGCGGAAGCAGCCGAAGGTTTCGTGTGGAACGCACTTTTTGTGGCACTTTATAAAAAAGCCATGGGAAATTTTTGCCTTTTCTTTCAGGGTTACATCTACCCTAGAACACATCTGATGCCGTGTGTCCGTAGCATAGACCACAGCCTTAAACCCGCCAGCTTTGCCCATGTTTGCAGGACAGATCCAGAAACGCCGATTTCTGCAGGGTCGGCCACGTCGGGCAGCGTTACAGCGACGTGCGGTCCCCAACAAAGGCACCTTTTGTTAAAATAAGGCTGAGATGTTGTTTTGGGGTAGATATATTGCATTATGCACATTGAATTGCTATTTAGATATGCCAGATTCACTGTCTCCTAAATATTCATCTTTGTAGATGGGTCTTTAATTCACTTTGTTTTCTGACTGTCTGGCAGTAAGGTGTAAATACGCCTTTTACGTGTGACTGTGAATTACTGCTTAAATAACAAGGAAGATTTGTGAGGAAAAAATCCAAAATTAAAGCAAATTATAAGAGCAAACCTCATTATAATGTTGGTTGGAGGTCTTCTTATTTTGAGGATGAAAACAAAACCAAAACCCCCTTTGGGACAAATTTACATTAAAATTGTATA